CTGAACCAATCTTGTGGTGGTTTAGTTGGGATCATTGAGAATAAATAATTTATTTTTGGTAAGACCATCATTTTTATAGCGGCAACCCTTCCCATGAGTGATATGGGTAGACATTTCCATCTAGCCAGATCATCTTCTACCTTCTTTAAAAGTGGGATATGGTTTAATTTAGTCAGATCTGCAAGCTTGGGAGTTAGGGACTTAGTTACTTTTTAAAAACATTATATGCAACCTGAATACATAATAAAGCTACAGACCTTTCAGCCCAATTCTGGTTTTTGTGCATAATCCATCATATAAAATATAATCAAATGAAAAAGTCTCTTTTTAAAACTTGTTTCATTAGTTTTAATCTTTTAACTTTATGCATCAAGCAAAAATGTAATTATATGCAACTGTCTTTGACTTGAAGAAATTCTTTAACATTTAAACCTGTTGTCTGCATATTCGGAGAGAAAATAAGAGAACGATCTTTTGAGTTTGCACTCTTTCAAATAGATGCAAGTCAAACACAGCAGGAAATAAATAAAATCAAAGACTCAGCAGGCTTACAGGAAAGTAACAGTAATCTAATTACTTTTTTGCAATAGTAATCCCTTACTTTACTTGTTATTTGAAAAACATAATTGGATTACCATTTATTTACCGTACTGCCCTTATCTGGTGCTGTCACAACTAATACCAGTAACAGCTCCAGTATGACAACACTGATGAAGAAATGTACCACAGAAGACGTGATTTCCAGAACCTTGAGCTGATTTTCCATCCTGCTATATTTATGACCGTGTGTCTGAATCCTGCCCAGACCTGCACTCTGCTGCATTTGATAAAGACTCTGTGACACAGCAGCTATTAAAACAACTGCTTCATTTATTCATTCAACAGGCTAAAGGAAGCCATCTGTGCCACTATTCAGAGTCAAGGTATAAAGACGCTCCTGCAGAAGTGATTCCAGCGAGTAATTCATTCATATTCACACTTACCTGTGTTCAGTTTATCTCTCCTTGCATCGTAGAGCATCCCCAAAGCAAAGGGACGACTCAAAGCAGCGACCGTCACCTGATCTGAGGCCATGTCTCCAACCTGAGAGAAACAATCCAGCAAAATGCATCAAAACCAAATATTTATTTATTTATTTCCAAACTGGTCGTGCAGCACAGTTCACTTGCATTCTTTTCAAATTAAAAACCATCTAGAGCAGCACACATTGATCCACATTCATGTTTTGAAAAACAATGGCGAAGTTCTGATCTTGGTGACATCACAGCACGATGGTTGCAGCCATGGTCCTGAAACAGGTTCCTGCATCAGTCAGTGTTTAAATCTTGAAATGGTTTTGATCTCATTAGACAAAATTGCAGATCTCAGTGAATCTCACATTTTCCAAACTGATTCATATCTCCGGCACGTCCTCCAGGTCGTTCTTAAACACAGTGCATCAAAACTGCTCACTTGAGACTGATGAGATGAACCTGATATAATTCCAAGGATGATTCCTCAGGTAGATAAAAGAGGAGGAGGAAGATCACATGGACAATAAGATGCTTACATGTCTCAAAATGTGATTTATTCATGTGAAAAGTGTCCTCTTCCTCTTTATGCACACACAAAGTAATGTTTCCTTGATCTATTCCACCTGCTTTTGTCTTATTATTATTTTGATGGGAAACTATGATTTGAACATTTATTTTTAATACTGAATTTTGTGTTTAGAGTTGAGAGAAAGAAATACAAAACTCAATATTCAGGCTTAATTTAATTGTTCTCAGTTTTTTATTCGTTATTTTTAGCAGATTCCTTTTTCTTCCTCTCTGCCTCTCGGATCACTTCCATCATCACGCCATCGCCGAGTTTCAAGAATTACACCTGTAGTTGTGTTTCTGATTCATGTGTCACGAGTGAATCGCAGTAAAAACTTGTTAGTGAGTCAGAATTTGCAGAAAGTGGGATGAAACAATTTTCACAACCTGATTTACCAAAACACGATGAAACTATTTAGAACCTGAAGAGCATGTCAGAGTCAAATGAAATCATCTCATTGTACAGTAGACAGAGCGAGTGAGAGGAGAGCATCCCTGATTACCTGCTGTAGGTGTGCAGTCCTCAGTCTTCTTGGCTCACAGCTGCAGAGTCCCGTCACACCTGCAGGTTATTTTATAGCTGATAACGAACGCCTCCCTCCTCAGACACACCTGAACACGTCCACCTTTTTTTTATCTTCAGTTTCTTATTCAACAGGTCCTGTGCAGGGTGTGGTATTCTGCAGAAAGCCTCCTTTTCTTTGTGATTTTCGCACAGTTTGGAATCTGTTAGTGATGCAATAATGATAAGTGGTGTAATAACAAGTGTTTCTTTTTTTTCTTTTTCTTTTTTTTTGCCCGTCCCGTTTGGATCTTTAGCATCAGAATTGTTGTCTTAAGGCCAAGAAAGATGCCAAGCGGCTTTACTTTACCAAGTGGATCATCATGGCCTTGTCTTTTTGGTCCATTTGATTGACCTTTATTATAATTATGTGTTTATTTGATTTGATTTTCGGTTCTTACAGACGGGACAGACATGACTGGGGGATAGGACAGGGAGAAAGAATGAAAGAAAGAGAGGGAGAGAAAGAAAACCAAAGGGGAGAAGAGACGGTGAGAAGGGGAAAGAAAAGAAACAAAACACCTGGATCACCTGTATGGAGAAAAAAAACAGAATAGAAAGCAAACAAAAAAAGAGCAACATAATAAAAAACAGCACCATCACAATAAACTAGCTAACAATAGATAACAGTAGATACTAAATATTAAATGATATTGTGCAGCACGCAAGATCCACAGCGCACAATGTGCTTTGAGGTAGCAGCCAAGAAAGGTGTAGTCCGCGTCTGTGAACACCCATGTGCACACCTGTGTGGATCAGCATGCTTGTATTCAAAAGGTTTCTCCATGTAATGATCTGCTAGGGAGTGTAGGGAGCCATAGCCCCGTCCCCCAGGGTATGAAGCAGGTATGGAGGAGATCCAGGCTCCAGACATCCAGAGGCCCCAGAGTACGAGGACCCAAGAAGGACCACCAGGGGGGCAACTGTGCCACCCTCCTGGGAAGAGCTGAGGAGAGCCCCAAACGAGAGGTCACCCAGCAGCCACGGAGCAGAGGCCAGAGGGGGTTGCAGTGGTGTGCCCGCGGGCTCTGCCGGCAGCCAGCTGTGCCAGAGAGGACCGAGCCCCGGCTGGGCCCCTTCCCCACCCCCCGGAAGGGGCCCAGGCGCCAGATCCCGCCAATCGGCCACCAGGAGTGAGTTGGTACATACATGAGCGCCCAGCCCCAGACACCAAGAACCACCAACACACCAACATCTGAGGGCATCAGCCACCAGCAGGGAGCGTGGTGAGGGGAGATCGGCCTCCGTACTTTGGAGGGCCTGAGATGTTCCCAGAGAGGTTGAGTCTAAGACCCAACCTGACATATAGACACAGACGAACAGGCGCACGCGGACACACGTGCATTCCCATATGCACAACCAAATACTCGGCACTCACCCGACGTGTAGACAGACACAAATAAACACTGTGCACACAGTCACACTCCCCAAACATACTCTATATCCCAGGTCCAGGTACCCCCGCCCTCAGAGGGGCAAGCCGCACCTAGACCCAGGAGGTGTAACCCTTCTCTCTGGGGTGGAGGCAAGCGGACCACCTCCTTATCTGCAGTAGCAGGGAGGCCCCGCATCCCAGACCCCAGTCTGACGGCCAGCACCTCCTCCCAGCCCCCCAGCCCCGACGGTTAACAGAACGGGGGTGAGTGAAGACCCCAAACCTCCCTCCGCCCGCTCATATATGTACCGGTTCACTCCCGGTGGCTGCTTGGCGGGGTCTGGCACCCGTGGCTTGTTCGGGCCTCTTCCAGGGGGGTGGGGGGCCCTCGGCCTCTGGGCCCTCGGCTCGGTTCACTCTGGTGCTGCTGGCTGCTGGCAGAGCTCGCGGGCACGCCACTACAGCCCCCTCTGGTCTCTGCTCCATGGCTGCTGGGTGACTCGTCATCTGGATCTCTCCTCAGCTCATCCACACACTGTTCATAGACGTAAACTACACCTTTCCTGGCTGCGACCTCAAAGCACACTGTGTGCTGTCGGTCCTGCGTGCTGCACAATAACATTCATTATTTAGTATTTACTGTTATTTACACTTAGCTGGATTAATGCAATGGTACTGTGTTTATTATGCTGCTCTCTATTTTTTCTCTTTTTTCTCTTTTTTTTTCTCTCAACAGGTGATCCAGGAGATGTTTTTTCTTTTTAAGTGCCCTTTCTCACTGTCCCACTTCCTCTCTGTTTTTCTGTTCCTTCATCTTTCTTCCTCCCTTTCTTATCCCCCAGTCATGTCTGTCCTGTCTGTAACGACTGAAAATAAAATAAAATAAATAATAACAACAAAGGTCGATCAAATGGACCAATATGGCAAGGCCATGATGATCCACTTGGTAAAGTAAATCCGTTGGTCATCTTTGTTGACCTTCAGACATAAATTCTGACGGCTAAAGAACCAAACGGGACAGGCAAAGACAAACAAACAAACAAAGAAAAAAAACCAACATCTGCGTAAACAAGCTTGAACGTTTCAGGTTATGTTGTGCATGTAAGAACACCTACAGTGTTCCCTGGAATAACGGCTGCTGTGCCACAGAAAGCAAATCAGCGGTAATCACTTCTCAGGAACTTTGCACTTGATGTTTTGGTCCCAGGTGTTCCCACAGTGCCCTGCAGTTCTGATTACATCACTCCCTCTGTGTTTGTTCACCTTTGAAGGAATGAAACCATAAAGCAAACATGGCAGAGCACCTGACTGAACTAAAGAGTCAGTTTAAGGAAGGAGTGTTGTAATGTGTGTCGACTTGTGTGGTTATCATTGCTGAGAGATCTGATTTCTTCAGAAAACTTCCAGAAAGTGCTGCATGGAAATATCTCAGTAATGATCCTGATCCGTGCACATGCACGAGCAGATCAGAGTGCAGTCCCACACACCTCCGTGCAGCTCGCCTCCTCCCGTCATCCTACAGAGACTGTAGGACACTGTGGGACACTGTGGGACACAGAGACCACCAAAAGAGTCAGTCTGTCTCTCTGGACATGCTGTACTCTGTACCACCCACTGTTATCATCTTCAGTGCCCTGTACCAACACAGAGCAGCTCACCTGAGCCGTCGTTTCTTTCCTGATCTTTTCCTGTCTTCTGTTATCAGACCTGAGATGTGACTGCTTTCTGCTGTTGCTGATGACCCCAGTTAAGTCTACAAGACATGCTGTGTAAGTAAATACAAACAACGACAGTTTGGTCTGCATTTATTCAAAAATCCCATCCCACGGACTTAGAGGGTCCACACTGTCTGCACTGCATATAGTGAAGTCTGCAAGTCAGTGAAATTTGTTTTGTGCCCACATTATTCTGCAGATCATCAGAGCGAAAGTTATTGTCCATGCTTGCATAGCCCTTTTTAAAAGTATGCTTTCATGACATTATTGTGTGTGGGGTGGTGGTCAGGGCTATCCACACTGACAAGTGGGACATTGAAAGTCACCTCTCCAGTGGGGAGGGAGCCTGAGTCTAAATTGGAGTGTGTTCTATAGTAAATGCTGAAAAATGTGTTTAAGGAAGGAAATAAGTTGGTTATCTAAAAATCTGATTGTTTGCCTGCAGCAGGAGAGATGAGCCCTCCGTCACAGATGGTTACTGGGTCCCTCATCTGGGGCTCTCCTCAGCCCTTCCCATGAGGGTGGCACGGATGCCCCTCCGGTGGTCCTCTTTGGGCTCTCGCACTCTGGGGCCTCTGGATGTCTGGAGCCTGGATCTCCTTTATGCCTGCTTCATGCCCTGGGGGACGGGGCTATGGCTCTCTACATCTTCTAGCAGACCATTACATGGGGAAACCTTTTGAATACAAGTGCACTGATCCACACAGGTGTGCACACGGGTGTTCACTGTCCATAGACATAAACTACGCCTCTATTGGTGCTATTTCCAAGCACATTGTGCGCTGTCTGTCCTGCGTGCTACACAACAACATTCAATATTTAGTATTTACTGATGTTTACACTTAGCTAGATTAACGTGATGGTGTTGTGTTTAGTATGTTGCTCTGTTTTTTTGCTTGTTTTCTCTTCTTTTTCTCTCAACAGGTGATCCAGGAGATTTTTTCTCTTCTTTCTCTTTTTAAGTGCCCTCTCTCACTGTCCCTCTCCCCTTCTGTTTTTCTTTTCCTTCATCTTTCTTTCTCCTTTTCCTATTCCTCAATCATGCCTGTCCCGTCTGTAACAACTGAAAATAAAATAAAATAAATCATGACAACAAAGGTCGATCGACAAGGCTCTGATGATCCATTTGGCAAAGTAAATCGATTGGGTATTGTTAAATCCTCCCAATTCTTTTGATCTTTGGGCTGGAGGAAGGACAATACTCGGTGTATAAATGCTCAATCAACAATCTTTTATTCCATACTATACAACACTTTATGAGCATAAACCATCCGGATGGGGAGACAGACATGCATGAAGAGGGTCACAGCAAATCTCAAACTGGTGGAGGGTTACTCAAACTCTTATAGCCTCTAGTGGCTCCCACCTAGTCGTAAAAACCTAAACATTCACATTCTTTCTAACTCCTTACTTATGGCCTTGGCTCCCTATTTTGTCTGCCTTCAACAACGGTGGGGGTGATGTGCTCTCTGTCTCCTCTACTATCAGAAAAAGCAAAGTCCTGACTCTC